TAGCATCAGAGACTAGTTGCTGTTAGCATCAGAGGCTAGTTGCTGTTAGCATCAGAGGCTAGTTGCATTAGCATCAGAGGCTAGTTGCTATTAGCATCAGAGGCTAGTTGCTGTTAGCGTCAGAGGCTAGTTGCTTTTAGCATCAGAGGCTAGTTGCTGTTAGCATCAGTGACTAGTTGCTGTTAGCATCAGAGACTAGTTGCTGTTAGCATGACAGACTAGTTGCTGTTAGCATGACAGACTAGTTACTGTTAGCATCAGAGACTAGTTGCTGTTAGCATCGGAGACTAGTTGCTGTTAGCATCGGAGACTAGTTGCTGTTAGCATCGGAGACTAGTTGCTGTTAGCATCGGAGGCTAGTTGCTGTTAGCATCGGAGGCTAGTTGCTGTTAGCATCGGAGGCTAGTTGCTGTTAGCATCAGAGACTATTTGCTGTATATATATACTTGATTTCTGCTCTTGTTTTTATATTAAAAACAAAGTTATAAAGTTTTATTCAAGTGTCAGTCAATAACAAACCCAACAACTGCTGTTTGCATTTAATAAACAGAAAACTAATTATGTTCTGCAGAAATATAAATTATTATGAATCGGAGCATTTAAAGACCTTTTTAAGAACAAGATGAAGTGTTTTACGTTAAACTTGAAAGATGAGCAAAGCGTTTATTTAAAATCATTTTTAAGGATAATGTTGTCAGTTTTCTAAATTATTTTCAGTTTAAGCAGATGTTTCTTTGCACATTTTAAATTTTATTTTTACTGCAGGTTCTGAGCAGGCCTGAAAACTGCTGCGGTCTGAAAGAGAGCGAAGTGCTTTTGTTACTCAACGATGTTGGTACGTTCACCGTTTCCCTTTAGTTTCCTCGCTCAGCTCTGACTTCTAACGGTTTTTAATGTGGTCACCGACATCTGATCCAGGATCTGGCATCCAGTATCTGCATGAAAACAAGATCATCCACAGAGACCTGAAGCCTGAGAACATTGTGCTCCAGGACTGCAACGGAAAGGTAAACGGCTGCATCCGCCTGCTTCATCACTCCTGACCGCTTGTTTCTCAAACTACATTAAATATTTACTCTCTGGTTTGCAGCTGGTTCACAAAATCATCGACTTGGGTTATGCCAAAGACCTGGACCAGGGCAGTCTGTGTACCTCCTTCGTCGGAACCCTTCAGTACCTGGTAAACACCTCGTCTAACCTATATTTAGTAGCCCTGGATGTATTTTTATGTAATCCTGTTTTTTTTTTTTAATTCCCTCAGCAGAGTTGAAAGTTGGAAGGTTCTAACAAAGGCGTCTCTTTTTGTCTCTGCAGGCGCCTGAGCTGTTTGAGAACAAGGCGTACAGCGTTACCGTGGACTACTGGAGCTTCGGCACCATGATCTTTGAGTGCAGCTGCGGCTTCCGCCCGTTCCTGCACAACCTGCAGCCCGTGCAGTGGTGAGAAGATCTCACGGCTCACAGGAGTCGTCAACGTCTGAGCATTTTAAAATCCTCCTTTAGTCGCTGCGTTGTTTAGTTCGACACTCTAACCTGACACCGTATCGGCTGTGGCGTCTTCCCCAGCTGCAGTGAACGGTTCACCGTCATTATTTTATAATGTTTGACCTTCCTGGGGGGTGGGCGGTTCTTTTAGGGGTGAGTCGCCCCCTTGGATAAACGTAGGCACGACGCTGCAGTCAAATCTGTGCTACTAATGTGCTTTACAAAAACATTATTAGTTCTGAAAATTATCCCAAAAATGTAGTTTAAACCAACTGGAAATTATGGATAAAATGTATTAAATTAATTTTTAAAAATAAGCTTTTTTTTTCCTCATTAATTTGTAAATTTGTATTAATACATTAAAAAAAACAGTAAAAGGCCCTTTTTTATCCTGTTTATAGAACGGTCAGGTATAAATTACTGCAGATATTTAAACAAATTCAGGTTTTAATTGTAGGTTTTATCTGCGAACAAGAGAAATTAACACCCTACAGGACTATTTTTATTATTTTTTTATTTGTCAGGAACAATGCAGTCAACATTCTAATGTGTTCACAATATGTTGCAGACATGAGTTCTGTCCAGCAGCTAATGTGAAACCCTGACTAAGATGAAAACACTAATTCTTGCACATACCTTATGCATAATGTAACTGATGAAAATGAGCAGATTTAAGGTCTGAGCTGTGTCTTTTCTTCAGGGCCAGCAAAGTGAAGCATAAAGGTCCAAAAGACATCATGGCTGTAGAGGAACCGAACGGGGAAGTTCGCTTCTCCAAACATCTCCCGTACCCGAACAATCTCAGCAGGTCGGCAGGATCAACGTGGTTATGTTCTGCTCGTCTGCTTCCGTTATTTGTGTTGTGGAAATTAGAAATAAACGCAGAACGAGCCGGAGTGAACGGGTTTTACTGAACGCCGACTGCTGTTTCTGTTCCGTAGGACTCTTTTGGAGCCGATGGAGGCCCTCCTTCAGCTGGTGCTGAAGTGGATTCCACAGCAGAGAGGAGGAGCAATAAACCCTCAAACCAAGAAACCACAGTGCTTTGACCTAATTGACGAGATCCTCACCATGAAGGTGAGTCCTAGAGGGTTTGTTTATTTCACAGGTGAAGATCAACAAGGATGGATAAGATCAGGAATGAGATCATCAGAGGTTCAGCACAGGTTGAAGAACTGGGAGATCAAGTTAGAGACACACTGAGATGGTTTGGACATGTCCAGAGGAGGGGCGGGGTCAGCAAACAGGAGATGTATGGATGCAGTTAGAGAGGACATGGAGGTATTTGGAGTGAGGACAGATGGAGGAGTTGCTGTTTGAACATTTGGACAGATTACGGTTTCTGCATTTCCTCCCAGATCTAAAACTTTTAGTATTTTTCTTGACTAGCAACCAGATTTGGTCTCAAGTCTTCCTCACCATCTTCCCCATGGCCCTGATGCTAAACCTGAACCTTCTGGTGTTTGTGGTAAATAATCCTCCAGGGTTTACAAATCTAAATTATAGAGTCGGTTTGGGTTTAAAAACAAACTAAATCTGAGAATGTGTCTCCCGTGTCCTGATGATGTCATAGATTTTAAAATAAAAATGGTTTGTGTCCCTGCTCCAGACAGTGGCCCGTCTCTGTTTGTAGACATTTAAATCCAGGAAGTGAGTGGTTTCTGTTTAATCTGCAGTTCCAGTGTTTGTACAAACAAAGCCATAAAGATCCAGACATTAATCTGGAAACGGTTCAGATTACTCCACAGCTTTTAAATCCGCTTTTAAAACTCTCTCAACGTTTTATCAAAACCAAATTGATCTTTTTTTGCGCACCAACTAGATTTCTAACGAACAATCGCTGAGGTCCTCATCACACCGAGCTATGCTGCAAACAGGCCTGTTTATCTAAACGTGTTTTGTTTCTTCTCCCCAGGTCGTCCACATCCTGAACATGACCACCGCTCAGGTCCACTCCTTCAAGCTGACTCCAGACGAGAGTCTCCACAGTCTGCAGATGCGAATCGAGGCTGAAACCAAGATCGAGGTGGTGAACCAGGAGCTGCTGCAGGAGACGGGGGTGTCTCTGGACCCCAGGAAGCCCGCTGCACAGTGCGTCCTGGATGGAGTGGTGCGTTCATGGATCTAAACGTTGTTCCCATGTGGCTGCAGCTTGGTTACGTTTGTCATCTGTAGAGACGCGCTTCTGTTTGGCAAAAATATTATGAAGCAAATCATCGTTTGAGTCCAGGCCTCTCCTTTTGTAATATAAATAAACGTTCTATAGCTCTAGTTAAAACTAAAGAAATTACATTTCCTGCAAAAGATTCAGTGTGAACGCTGATTGAGAGGAAAGAGGAGATAAAACTAAAAGAAGCAGCACTAGACTAGCTAAATGCTAGCTAAATGGTAAAAGTAGCAAAAACACCTGTTAAATTCTAAAAGCAACAAAAGGCAATCTAAAAGCTAAAAATAGCAAAAGTCTAGCTAAAAGCTAAAAATAGCAAAAGTCTAGCTAAAAGCTAAAAATGACAAAAGGCTAGCTAAAATCTGAAAATTAAAACTACTACCTAAAAGCAGCAAAAGTGTAGCTAATAGCTGAAAGTAGCCAAAATTTAGCTAATGGCTAAAAGCGGCAAAAGTCCAGCTCAAAGCAGCAAGTGTTAATAGCTAAAAGTAGCCAAAATTTATCTAGTAGCTCAAAGCAGCAAGTTTCTAGCTCAAAGCAGCAAAGGTGTAGCTAATAGCTGAAAGTAGCCAAAATTTAGCTAATGGCTCAAAGCAGCAAAAGTCCAGCTCAAAGCAGCAAGTGTTAATAGCTAAAAGTAGCCAAAATTTAGCTAATAGCTCAAAGCAGCAAGTTTCTAGCTCAAAGCAGCAAAAGTCTAGCCAACATTTAGCTAATGGCTCAAAGCAGCAAAAGTCTAGCTAATGGCTCAAAGCAGCAAAAGTCTAGCTAATAGCTGAAAGTAGCCAACATTTAGCTAATAGCTCAAAGCAGCAAAAGTTTAGCTCAAAGCAGCAAAAGTCTAGCTCATCAGGTCTCTCTTGTAAATGAGTCCTCGAGGCTTAATGGGATTTACCTGTCTAAATAAAGGTTGAATGAATAATAGCTGAAAGTAGCCAACATTTAGCTAATAGCTAAAAGCAGCAATAGTCGAGCTGAAAATAGCAAAGGTCCAACTAAAAGCTAAACGTGCTTAAGAAGACCAAAGTAGAGACGGAATGCTGAAGCTGATTTCAGACAGAATGTGTCTAAATGAACTGATCTGTGGGAAAATAAATGTAAATAAAGTAAAACATTTTGGGCAGAAACAAAAAGTCAAAGCGCTCGTGAGCTGAAAGTTTTCTGGAAGTCTAAAAGTTGTCAGAATGCTAACGAGGTACAAAGAACACTCGTTAGCATAAAGCTCGTTTTAGTTTTGATGATTTGTTTGCTCCTGCTGTGCAGAGAGGCTGGGACAGCTACATCGTCTACCTGTTCGATAAGAGCATCACCAACTACTCCGGTCCTCTGAATGCCAGACGGCTGCCTGAGAAAGTCAACAGTATTGGTGAATTGTTATTTTCAAGCTCTGTTCAGCGTTTTTTGTCATTAATAAACTTTTATGTATTATTTCAGAAGTTTCCTTTTTGACCACAAGTGTCACGTTTAAACTTTCAGTACAAGATTCGAAAACGCCGCTGCCTCTGATTCTGTTGAAGAAGGTGTGGGGCGAAGCTGTGAGCTACATCTGCGGCCTGAAAGACGACTACAGCAGGCTCTTCCAGGGCCAGAGAGCCGCCATGTGAGCCCCACCTCGCTCGTAAAGATTTGCCTGCACCTCCTCCTGGTGGTGGTCACCTTTAGTTTCTCCTCCCTCCTCCAGGTTGAGTCTCCTGCGCTACAACACCAACCTGACCAGGTACAAGAACAACATGTTCGGCTTCTCCCAGCAGCTCAAAGCCAAGCTGGACTTCTTCAAGAGCAGCATCCAGTACGACCTGGAAAAGTACAGCGACCAGATGCATTATGGGATATGTGAGTGTTTCCTGCAGCTGTTCGTGCTCCGATTGTTGCGATGTTCTTAAAGCACCAAACAAGGTTTTTTTGTTTGTTTGTTCAAAGCGTCTGAGAAGATGCTGAAAGCGTGGCAGGAGAATGAAGAACGAGCTGCTGCCTTTGCACAGGTGAAGTGGATCTATGCTTTGAAACGTGCCCTGTGTGGACGAGCAGGACCAGCTGTTTTACTGGGGTTCCCAACAACTTCCAGCAACACCTGGAAAATTATTTCACATTTTCCAGACTGGGAAAACTCAGAACATTTGAGACGAACAAAAGAAATCATGGAAAACTCTGATCTTCTGATTAGAAGTTGATCTTTCTGAGATTTTGACGTGTTCGTGAATTCATGCTGGTATTGTAGCATCAGAGAGTCCATGTTCTGGTCTACAGAGTGCACAGTACATGGATCCTCACTGATTTTCTGTGGTCTTTTAGTATCTGATGATTAATTATTAGGAACGATTGCTGTGTGCACGTATCGTAGGCTGCAGTACTTCCTGTCATCTCTGAATGTGACTCTTCCCGCCACCTAAGGAGCTCAGTTCTGAGCGTTTCATGAGACTAAAATATTTGAAATTCCAGGATTTACTGTGGGGGGGAATCTGGGAATAGTTTCCGACAGTTTGCTGTTTGTCCTGCAGGTGGCAGAGGTGAGCCATTTGGATGATGAGATCATGGCTCTGCACTCTGAGATCGTGGAGCTTCAGAGGAGCCCCTACGCCCGGCGCCAAGGAGACAAGATGGAGCAGCTGTGAGTGTTAAGAAAGCGGACGGTTGTTTACGTCCATTGAAGTTGGACGCGTTATGGTATGAAACGTCATATATGTGCATCGTCACGTGATGGAAGGTCACATGCACCTTTCATGACCCCAGCTCCAAGATCGAGGTCAAACGTACAAGGTCTCTGCTTGTCCAAGACCTCCCATCGAGGCTAATGCACAAGTTCCCTCAGTCCAGGACTGACGCGTGACCTGGGTCCATTCAGAAGATGCAGCGAGGGGGTCAGAGTCTCTGATGCTCCTCTGTGCTGCCGGCGTGAAGAAAGAACCCGCAGAGCTGCGGCTCGGTAATGTGATGAACTGACATTAGTTGCGACTGCCCGCTCGTGGGATTAACGATAGCAAACAGATTGATTATAGATGAAATATTGATGACGCTCAGAAACTTTGTAGTTGGTTAAAAAAAAAAGTTAACCACAAAGAGGATCGCTGAAGTGAATTGATTAATTGCAGTTAATGACAGGAGGGAGATGTCCGACAGACACTGAATGCATCACTCTGCTTCAGCACAGCAGAGTTCTGCTCCACGACTCTTTTGGTTCTGCTCGGCCCGCTTCATTTCTGAATGCTCACATCAGTGGCCATCTTCATCTGTTCTTTATGAACCATTCGAGGAAACTTGACGACGGACCGGTCTTATGAACGAGCCCGCAGATTGCTGTATTATAGTTTGTCGACGAGCGTGTAATGCGTCGTATCTTGTTCTTTTTTAAATTTGGTAAAGTTGTGCGTTGACCATTTGTTGCGTTTATAGCTGAATTGCAAATATAAGATGGTTGAAAAGATCTTGGTGCTCCTTTTTTAAAGGCGAACAAACCAGAGTTGAATGTTGTAAAAATGCAACATCTCAGTTTTAAAGGATAGATAATTAAAAAAACTTGTGAAGATTTGTGCACATTTCAACATGTTTGAATTCGTTTTCTTTCAGAGAAGAAAAAGCAATTGAGCTCTACAAGCAGCTGAAGATGAAATGCAAAGGTGAGAAACATTTCTTGTTGTCGCAACAAATAAAAAAAACACGCCGAGTGGTTTTCTTCTTAAAATCAAACAAAAGTCTCAAACTGAAATGCGTCTTGTTGGACTCGATGTTTTTCTCCCAGTACCCGACTCGGATGGGACCAGCGACAGCTCCGAGATGGTGAAGGCCATCGTCCTGACCGTCCAGAACCAGGACAAGGTCCTCAAAGATCTGTACACCCACCTCAGGTAAGACCGGAGCGCTGGGTACTGAAGGTTGAAGGTTCTCCGTGCAGAAGATAAAATCATAAATGAGGAAACGCAGGTTGAACTTTTTTTTTTTTTTTTTTTTATCGGTGGTTAATGTGTTCATGAATTACAAATTTTAATCTAAATTAGTAACAGCCATGTGTTTACCTTCAGAAACTTGATGTTTTGTTTATATTTACACTGAGATTTTGTTAAGGGTTAAACATTTAACTTGGTTTTAAATAAGTTTTGAAAAGGTTGGGTGTGTTTTAACGAGACTCAGATTCTACACTCGTCTTATTCCGTCATATTTCTGGACCGTCGCAGACTACGGTCAGCAGAGCTGCACAGATGGATCCAAGTATCAGAACCAACACTGGCTCCGTGACGAGATGGATGCTGGAGATTCTTTCGTCTGTTTTTTTTTTTGGACGTTGCTCCGGTTCCAGACGTGATGAAAGGAAAACCAAACGTTTTGTTTTTGAACAAAAACCCTGAACAGAAACATTCACATTATAAAAGACAATCAGTAAATTTATCTAAAGAAGCGGCAGATGGTGTTGATTCTTCACTTCATCACAGTCTCTCATCCTGAGCAAGAACAAAGGAGACAGTGGAAAGAAAAACGAAAGTTACGTATGTAACTACGGTTCTATGAATCCCGGATGACCGCCAGAGGGCGGTGCTGAAAGCACTGAATGTTCCCTTCGCGCATGCGCTGATTCGAGTAATAATACCAACGGAGTCACAGGTGTGACACGGATGACCAATCAGAGGCTATATAGCCCGACGTCATCCGCTGCTCTGCTCCTACAGAATCTTCTCGCGAAACGCAAGGATTCTGAGTGACGGAGAAGCTCTGGCGGTCATCCGGGATTCATAGAACCGTAGTTACATACGTAACTTTCGTTCTATTTCATCCCTCCTGACCGCCAGAGGGCGGTGCTGAAAGCACTGAATGACTAATATCAACGATGTCACAAGGAATCCTAACACCTACCTCACTGAGGAGGCCCAGAGGACCCTTGTAGAAGAACCTGGCCCAGGGGATGAGGGGTGGCCACGTTAACTCTATAAAATCTGGTGAACGTGCTTGGGGAAGCCCATGATGCAGCAGCACATATTGCTTCCAGCGGAACCCCTCTCAGGGCAGCCCAGGAAGCGGAGACGCTCCTGGTAGAGTGAGCCTTCAAGCCGACCGGGAGGGAGCCGGGCCCTGCAGCATAGGCGTGGCAGATGACGTCCACGATCCAGTGGGAGAGGCGCTGTTTGGAAAGAGGACAGCCTAACCTAGGGCCTCCATAACACACAAACAGCTGGTCTGAATGTCTTATCACGGCAGTAGCTGCAACATATGCCTCCAGTGCCCTTACCGGGCACAATAATGCAGACCCCTCACCAGGCGCAGGCTGAAAACGTGCCAGCCTCAACGGTTGGTTAGAGTGAGAGTGAGATAACACCTTTGGTACGAATGCAATGTTTGGCCACAAGGTAACACACGAGCCCTCAGGGCCCCACCTGAGACATGAGGGGCTGATTGAGAGAGCATGTAGCTCGCTGACCCTCTTTGCTGAGGTAATAGCCAACAAAAAAGCCGTCTTACATGAAAGCCACTTGAGGTCCGCCTGCAACAGAGGCTCGAAAGGAGGACGGCACAGAGCTTCGAGAACCAAGGGAAGGTCCCAACCTGGTGCTCGTGGAGCTGTTGGCGGGTGTGACCTACGGGCACCACGCAGAAAAAGAGAGACTAGATTATGGCTCCCTACCGTACAGCCATCAATGCCAGTGTGATTAGATGATATTGCCGCTACATAAACTTTAAGCGTCGAAGGACAGCGACCCTTACCAAGTAGAGACTGGAGAAACTCCAGAATGGTGGGTATTGTACAGGAGACTGGATCCTTGTTGTGATCCGAACACCATTGGGAAAACAGGCGCCACCTGTTTTCGTACTGCTGACGAGTAGAGGGTGCCCTGGCGCCCAGGATGGTGCGTCTGACGGGGCTCGAAACTCCAGTCAGCTGCTGTCCTAGCCTTGCAGTGGCCACACCCACAGCCGAAGACGTTGAGGATTGGGGTGCCATATCAGTCCCCCCAACTGAGACAGCAAGTCCCTTCTGGTCGGAAGACACCATGGGACGCCCTGACATAGACTTCGTAGCAGTGGGAACCATGGTCGCGCTGGCCAATACGGAGCCACCAGCAGCATCCTGTGGCCCTCCTCGAGGACTCTCTGAAGGGTTGGCCAAATTAGAGAAAGGGGTGGAAAGGCATATAGAAGGACCCTTGGCCAAGGATGAGCCAATGCGTCCTGGCCTAGCGCACCCGACGCCCCCGTAAGAGAGTACCATAGGGGACACTGAGTCGACTCTTCCGTCGCAAACAGGTCTATCTCTGCCTGACCAAAACGGTCCCAGATCATCAGCACTATGTCTCTGTGGAGGGACCACTCTCCCGGAGGGGACTCTTGGCGGGAGAGAAAATCTGCGACCTGATTGTGTCGCCCTGGCAAGTACGCTGCCCGCAGGGTGGACAGGCGAGGAGAGGCCCATTCCAGGAGCTCTCTGGACACACTCAGAAGTTGTGCTGACCTGGTGCCCCCCTGATGGTTGATGTGGTAGACAACAGAGGTGTTGTCCGACCGAACAAGTACATGCCTCCCTTCCAGGTGAGGCAGGAAGTGCCTGAGTGCCAAGTGCACTGCACGCAGCTCCAGCACATTTATATGCTTGGAATGGTCTCTTTGACCCCAGCGGCCCTGAACCGCTCTGCGTTGCCATACAGCCCCCCATCCCATGGAGCTGGCATCCGTTGTGACCACTTCCCTGCGACACACTACCACTCCCATGGGGACACCCCTGGACAAATAATCTTCGTCCCTCCATGGAGTCAAGGCATGAAGACATGACCACGTCACTGCGAGCTTGCGATGCCTGTGCAGCCTGGCATCCAGGCGAAAGCTGTTGAGCCACCTCTGCAAGGGGCGAAGTGACAGCAGGCCTAAGGGCACCACCCGAGTGACTGATGTCAGCTTGCCGAGTAGTTGCAGGAAGGCAACATAGGGGAGCTGCTTGCCCAGCCTGAACCGATTGACCAGCTGGAGTATGCCGGCCACCCTTTGAGCGGATGGGCGAGCTCTCATTGAAGATGAATCCAGAACCACCCCAAGAAAGGTGGTCGTCTGGGAAGGGATCAGGCAGCTCTTCTCCAGGTTGACATTGAGGCCTAACTGGGACATATGAGCGAGCAGGCGGTTTGTGTCGCGAAAGGCACAGGCCTGAGACGGGGCGCAGAGAAGCCAATCGTCTAAGTACGGCAGAATCTTCACTCCGCAGGCCTGCAGAGGAGAGAGGGCTGCCTTCACGCACCGAGTGAACACCCTTGGGGAGAGAGAGAGCCCGAATGGAAGTACCCGGAACTGCCAGTGGTGACCCCGATAGGCAAACCTGAGAAAGCGGCGATGTTCTGCCGCAATAGGCACATGAAAATATGCATCCTTCAGGTCTACAGACGTGAACCATTCTTCCCTTGTGACAGCTTGAAGGACTTCTGCTGTTGTGAGCATGTGGAAGGGCAGCTCCTTTAGGTACTGGTTGAGTCCCCTCAGGTCTAAAATGGGACGAAACCCGCCCGTCTTCTTTTGCACAAGGAAGTAAGTCGAGTAATAGCCCCTGGGTTGTTGCAGAGGGTCCACTGCCTCTATTGCGCCCTTGGCCAGGAGGGCGGAAAGTTCCTGGTCTAGTGCTTGAGCTTTCACCGGGTCGGCGATTACAGTCATCTTGACCCGGCCTGAGATACGAGGCCGCCGTCGGAACTGTAGCCGGTAACCATGGGTCAGAGTGGCAACCACCCATGGGTCCACGGCGTGAGCAACCCAATAGCTGAGCTGCTGGTGGGAGAAATATCCGACGGTCGGCCTGATGGCATCACCGTCTCCCTCCACGACCCCTAGGGGCCGTGGGGGGGCGGCAGCCAGAGTCCCTGGTCCGAGCCTGCCCAGCTGGTCGGTGGACCAACCCACGAGAGCTCCTGCTGGGCCTTTGCTGAACCGCATGAGGGTAAGGACCACCCGGCCGGTTATGACCCCCAGGCGGCGGCTGCATGCTGGAGCCAGCCGACAGGCGCCTTGGATGCCGAGGAGGTGGAGGGGGCATTGGCCTGCTAAGGCTCGAAAATTGCTGCCTTCTCTGTCGTGCCTGGACAGTCCGTTCCAGTGCTTCCAAGGCAGCCGAACCGAACAACTCCCCCGGCACCACTGGGACATTACGGAGGGCTCTACGGCATGGCTCAGTCAACGCTGACTGAGCTAACCAGACCTGTCGGCGAGCTTGGACCAAGGAGGACATCACACGCCCAAGCTCCCTCGTCATTAGTGCAAAGGCCTGAAGCGCTGCATCGTTAAAGCCCATCGCTGCTGTCGCACCACTAGTCCCCTGAAGGGACGCGGAGAGGGCAAGCATTAGGTGTGCCAAGGAATTACCTAGGCGGCCAGCACGCGCTCCGGCGGCATAGGCTCTGCAGAGGAATTCATCCGTGACACGACACTGAGCTCGTGGGCACCGAACATGACTGCGCAGAGCTTCATCTGGTGACACGATGAGAGAGGCAACAGCAGGTTCTATCGCTGGCATGCGATCCAAGCCTGCTGCAGCCGGCTCATGCATGGCCGCCAACACTCTGCCATCTGCAGAGAGGCGCGCAAAGGCCTTGGGGTCCCGCCAGCAACCATGCAACTCCCTCAGGAACTCCTCTGATGGAGGGACAGAAAAGGAAGGAGGGGTCAGTCCGCGCCTGAAGAAGGCACTTCCAGGGGTGGACGCCTCTGGTTGCGGGACGTCCAGCTGCAGTTGTCTCAGGGCCATACGCATAATGTCCTGCATCGAGCCGTCACCCGACCCACTAACTGCACTCCGAGAAGAAGAGAGTGAAGCTGTCTCTGAGACTCGAGATGAATGCCCGTCCTCCTCACCTAAAAAGTGAGAGGCAGAGGCAGCCAAGGA